CAGTGTTTTTCATGGTATTTTTACACTTTTTTGTTCTATATTCATTATATTTTAGCCTGTTTTACCTCATATTTTCCCTGATATACTTCATGCCTTCTCCTCCTATTGGGACTATCAAATCAAGATTGTTGATGGAAATAGTGCACAAGAAACAATGCCTAGAAACAATTAAATCAGTGGAGTTCATGCAGAAAAACTGCCAAATTGTTTTGAAAGCAAGCCACTGCATTGTTACCCATATTGATATTGTCCAATAAGGAACCAGACAAAACTCATTCTAGTTGCCTGATGTTTTGGAGCAGTTGTGGCATGTTGTACTTGCCCTGAATTCGGTGCATTTCTTCCAGATGTACCAACTTCAACTAATTTATTTTTTTTATCTCTTTATTAGCAACATATTTAGGCTTACCAAACTGAAGTGTTACAATTCATCTATGAAATACAACTGTAAGGAATAAGCTGTTATAACTAATTGCATAAGCAAAAACATCAATCGCGCCAGTGGATGTGGGGGATGGGAACAAGACGGTACATACCAGTATCTGTCCTTGATGTCTTTCCCTAGAACAAGGGCATTGCCTTGATAGAATAATGTGTTACTGGCAACTGAAATATTGCATTTTGTTATGGGATTCATGAAGTACCCAAATGAATAAAGAGGAAGTTAGCACAGTACATTTAGGTTGAATGCCCCAACTTTGGAGCAGAAACGTCATGGAGGAAATATGTTTGGTGCAGAAGCCCTAGGTCCATCTTGCCAGTCCTTTGTTGGAGTGCTGAAGGTGCAGGAACTATGGTAATCACTTGACACTGTACAACAATTAGGCTGTTATTTAAGTGGTAGGCCATCTGTGTCAAATATAAATGTGTGTGTGTATATATATATGTGTGTGTATATATATATTTATGTGTATATGTATATATGTGTATATGTATATATGTATATATGTATATATATATTTATTTATTCATTTATTATTATTATTTTTTTTACTTTCACTTGTACATGGCACACAGTAGATATATCAGTGAATTCTAAAATTGCTTTTGGTAATTCTATACATTAGCAGTATATTGGGAGCTAATACTAATGAATTTCATATCAATGGGCTGTTTATGTAGTAGGTTATCTAATTTTAGTACATGGAAACCATCTGTAGTGATGATCTACTCGTAGGCCAAATAGGGGAGGGCATGGATTATCTGCATTATTTTTTATATTGTTTAATATATTTTTTATGTAGTGTGCCAAGTAGTTGTGCATCGTATAATGTACATACACTTATATCTACATGGTAAATTTTCACACAAATGTACTGTGTTAGGAGATCTTAACCAGTAGTTATGTTTGTTCATATGTGAAACAAGTTGTGTGGCACAGTATGCAACACATACTTGCCAAATGTGAAATGTAAGATACATGAGTATAAATAGCCATGCTTGTTAGTGGTATAAAGTGCCATCAAAGATAAAGCCACATAGGGACAAGTGCTGTAGAGATAGATTTACTACTGTGTTGAGCTTAGATGATTTTTTGTCAGCAGCAGCATCTTCTGTGACAGTCATGTCATATATGTAAAAGTTTTAGTAATTTCTGAGGAAGCACAATTCTCCTCTCTTTAAAGTAATCAGTTCACTTAAAGGAGTGTAAATTTTCTTTGAAAAATCAAAGAAATACATATGAGGCAAAATCATTTACCAAATTACAAAAAAAAGTTGAAAATCCATGTAAGGTAGTGCAAATAGCTAGATATTAGGAAACACAAGTAACCATTGCTGCCTTGGTGAGTGCCATGCCAACTCGTACTCTGCTACAGTGGGTTTACTGACAGTGAATGCCAACATTGCTACTTGGTTATTTGGCATTCAGCAACAAACCCAACCACAGCTCACTGCATTGCTTTGTATCCTTGACCTCTTTGTTACTTTCTTTCCTTCCAGCTTTTTCTTTCTATCGAGTTGTGTGTCTGTACAATAGTAGGAGTGGGGATCACTGTTGGATATCATATGAGCTGAAAATACTGGTGAACAGTGCCTTTAGTAATATTGATGGCTAACTCATAGTAAGTATAAGCTAAAGGAGGATATATGTATTGTAAAAGGAAAGGAATGAAATAAACTACAGTACTAATTTGCAGATGTAGCCCTTTTACAAGAAGAGTGTTATTGATAATATTTACCCATTGAAAAGGAGAGGATTTGTAAAAGAGCTCTGCTGCTATTGTCCCAATGAATAATGTAGTTGCCGTTCTATGAGGAAAGTTTGCAATACTTCTGTGTATTGATCTGTTGGCCTACAACAGTTTTGGTTCTTGTTGCAGGGGAGGACATGAATTGGGACTTGCCTGGCTGCCTCTATATTTAGGATGGGTGTTGTCCTTTTGCTAGAGAGTGGGAAGGCCTAAGGGTTGTGTAGTTTGAATTAATGGTTTTGATATATGATTTTTATGGTCATTTTAAAAAGAATGGAACTTACTGTAAAATTTAAAAACAAAGTTTAAGGTTAATATGCAAAAAGATCCTGAAAAAAGCATATATATATATATATATATATATATATATATATATATATATATATATATATATATATATATATGTATATATAATATATATACAACATATGTATATATAATGTATGCATACTTCTGAAAACTATTACTTAACCCAAAATCTCCAGGAAAATGTTTTATTTATTTTTAGTATGGTTGAAGTTTGCATTAATTCAAGCATTGTCAAGCATTGATACTGTAGTTCCCTATTTACAAATAAGTATGAGAACTCTTGTGTTTCTTTTCTCTCTTTGTCACAGTCACTTCCATTTACTCTTCAATGCTGGGAAGTTGGTGCAAAATTCAGTATTTAGAGTAGTATATATAAAATTTAATTCATGAATAAATATGTACTTGGATATGTTGTAAATTGTGCTTGAGGATAGATTTCATGATTTGCTTTTATGGAGTATCCCCCTAATCTCTTGTTTGTTGTTGTTGTGGAGGGGGGGGGGGGCTTAGGAGACCGACTAGGGCCCAATGTAAGGGATCACCTCTACCTTGGACCTCAGCCCTTACCTCAACTAATTTTAGCATCCCATCTTCCCCCTGCCCTCGTTCTTCTACTTCTACTTCTACTCCTCCCTAAATACTTTTACTGGAACTGTTTTCATCTCTTGTCCTGTCTATGACAAGGACTAATCAGACTGTGAAAACGACTTGCTCACATGCCTCGTTCGACTATGATGCAGTAGCAGTCCAGTGCTATGCTATTCCTCCCAGAGGCCAATTTAAGTCCTACACCAATGTTGCCAAGATTAGCTTCTGTAGACAAGACCTCCCCATGAAGTTTATATTGATGTAGTGTCCTGTCCTTCCCTGTCAGTGTCAGAAATGTTAGTGTTTTAGCCACCGTTGCTCCAGAGCCCACTGCCCTCTATGTACCCAACCTGGTCAAGACCGTTCAAATTGTTCTGCTCAGTCATGCATGTGTGCCAATTGTGGTGGCTCCCATAATATTCTGTAGGAGCTGCCCTGCCTACAATCTCAAATTTGAGGTAGAAGTTCTCAAGAAGCATCTACCTCAGTCTATCATCCCTTCACCCCAAACCATCCTGTTTCTACTGCCTCTTTCCCCCAGTTAAATTCCTTTTCCAGTCTAAATCCAGATACTCCAGTCTCTACCACTTCCTGGTGCCTACCCCTCCTCCTCCTCACTCTACCTGTTGCACCAGCCTAAACATTCCACCCCATCTTTTCCTGCCACATCCTCTCCTACATCCATCTCTCCTTCTGTTCCTTGAACATCTATTCCCTCTTCTCCTCCACATAAGAAAACCTTTGTTTCCCAGACCTCCCCACCCAACTCCCCTCCAGAAACTCTTGAAGACACTCCAGAACTTCCTAATCATGGCCCAAGAGAATGCTCCACTCCCTCATCTACCCTCTAGTCTCTTTATTCCTATTTGCTCTACATTCACGGTATTTGCTGATATCCATCTTCCTCCTCCTCAAGTTCCCCCTACCCCTATTCTTCCCACTCTCCCAAAAAAACACCCCATCCTCTCCTCCATGTGCATCACTATTCCCTCTTTCTTTCCCATTGTCCATCTTGCCTGGATGCTCATGTGACTCCTTTATGCCACAACAATGTCCTTCTCTGGATCCCTCCCCTCCTAACATTTTTCCCAATACTTCACCACCCTCCCCTATTCCCTTATCTCATTCTCTGGATTTTTCTCTTCTACGACTAGTCTTTATTATCCTTTGATTGTTTCATAATGGCTCTTTTGCAATTTGTTACTCCCCCTTCCTCAGACACATACTCTCCATTTGACCTGATTGCCCTATACCTTTAACCCCTTCTCCTTTTACAAATCCCCATCATGTTCTAATTGCTCCCCCTCTATACCCTTTCCACTACCATTCTATCCTACAGTGTTCTCTAACTTTTGACAGCTAACATCTCATCCCAATCGTTAACTCATTTCCATCCTTTTCACCACAATACTTTACCATAGTGCTATATGACCTTTGATAGCTAGCACATATTCTTCTAACCATTAACCATTTTATGGAGTAGGATTTTCCAGATTTCTTGCTACTTCTAGAATTTCTTTCAGGGGGCAGTAGACTTTGCATCTAACTTGGTATCTAATTATTTTCCTCACCAACAGTAAGGTTTTATCAGAGTTTATTATATTACATGTCATGATCATGACTAGTAAACTGGAAAGTGTAAAAATGTACAATGCCTTTTTAGAATGTCTTTGAAAAAGGAGTAGATGGGTATGGGTTTACCAAACCATACTTTAGAAATTTCAGTTTGAATTTACTATAGCCAGTCATGATATAAATAGATAATGACAATCAGACTTCAGCTTGTCTCTGAAATTTCAGGTGCCATTATCAGAGGAGGATAGTGAAAGTATGTCTGGAGCCACTCCCAACCCCAGGCAGGAGGAGGCAGCTGGACTAAGTGCTGCTCCACCGCCGTACAGTGTATGTAAAGTTCATGAAAATTATTTTGAATGCATGGAATTTTGGAATGGAGTAAAGAAAAGGGGAAAGGAATAATCTACCGTGATAAGGTATATCAACAAGAAATTGTCTTTATTAATATACAAGCCAGTGACGTCTCTATCAGTTAGAATGTCTCTTTACTGCCTTGCACAAGGATGGAAATCGATTAATAACTTTAAAACATTTAGAGCCTTGTATAGACTGGCAATGTGTAATAGTCATCTAGTTATTCTTGCTGTTTAAGTTTCAGTTTTAGATGAAGCTGTTACTGAAAACTAGTTTTGCCTTGGTCTGTTTTTTAGGTTATTATTATTACCTAGTATGAATAGAATGGGTAGTTTTCCACATTTTTCAAGAATTGCAGAAATTCTGTGTGAGTATTCTATCCATCCTATTAACCCGATGCTGACGGGCCACACCTATCAGCGTCATAACAAACCGCTCAGTCTGTGGGGTACACTTGTACGCATGGCGATGCACCAGAACGCTTGGAGTGGGACGTTCTACTTGATGTAGTGGACTCCTGCGCCCAGTATCTGCCCATTTCCAGAAATCTCCAGAGTTTAAAATTCTCAGGGATTTTTTTCACCTGTCAGCATTGGGTTATTTCTGGGAATGATCAGTTTTATGGAATCTTTAAGATATAGAAGGTTAAGTCAAGTAATGGTATTTGAATTGAGTTTGATAATTTCACAAATTATTTATAGTTATATTAATAAGTTCTGCAGAAGTTGAATATTGTGTGTATCTCATGGAAATAATCTAAAGAAGAATTTAACCAAATATTATGCATCAACATGTTTACAAAATAGATAAATCCACATTTTAGATTAAGATGTATGCCAGAAGGTAAGAATAGGCCCTCTTGATAATAGGAGTAAAAGGGTTGTAGTTTTGACATTGTTTTTCATAAAATAATAAATTCCCTCCGTTGCCCCAGGTGGAAGACTCGAACGATGGGGCCACATCTTCGACCCCCCCAGAAATAACGCCCCCAAAGCCAGATATGTATGCTCCCCCCCCTTATGAGGAGTGTGATGGCGACGAAGACTTCACCAGCTCCATGACAGCTCCTTTGACCAGCGAGTCAAGTGAAGTGCAGCCACCCAGTTATGAGGAGGTCCAGCGACTCAAGGCCATGGAAGCAGCTGAGGATTTCCCCCCACCTCATTGTCAGGTGAGTTTGTGGTGGTGTGTTCTGAATTGCTTGATGTAAAGGAGGTGGGCTGCAGTTTGTTGGGGAGAGTGTTGTTGCCAAGGATTTAGTTGTTGTGTTGGGGTGGAAGGGAACATCTTTTGTGTTTTGTATGTGATTTGGTAAAATGTATTTGGTTACAGTGATTAGTGATATGTCTACTTAGTATTCTGGGTTTATTTATCACTATAATTATTATTATTATTATTACTATTATTATGTATTTTATACATATACATTTTTTTCTGCATAGTTGCTGAACTGAGTTTACTTAAATGTAAAGTGAAAGTATAATTCTTACGAGATTACCTGCAAAGTAAAAAATAGTGCTTGGAAGTTATGGCTTTCTAAGAAATAAATGCTAACTTCATATTTTTGCAGGGAGGAGCGGCCTTGGGTGGGCCAGGGGGCGGCAGCAGTGGCAGTGGCATGCGGGTATTCCGCATCTCCTCCCTTGGGGGACTGGATCCAGAGACAGCAGAGATTGCTGAGGAGCAGCTTCTTGGGACAGATTTCATGTTCTTTGTAGCCTTTGCAGGTTAGTGCTTGTTTAATGTTTTTTTGGTGTTTGATATTATTTTAGTATATTTTTGTATTCATTGTATCCTTTTTCTTGTTTTTCTTTTTCTATAATATTACTTTTTCCTTCTTGTACTATTTCATTCTCCTCATTTCTTATCCTTCTCATTTCCCATTTCGCCTAATTGTATCCTCTTTTCACTTTTCACATGTGCTCTTATATTTACTTGCATTATTATTATTTTTTTCTTTGCTCTGCATTTGACTCTGTCTGAGTAATATTAAATAAATCCAACCAGTCACATCTAACATTAAATAGGAAAGTATTACCTTTATCAAAATGAAATCAAAATCCCTCACTTGTCTATCTTATTCATTTCAGCTGCTTTTGTGTTCAACTGGGTGGGCTTTGTACTTCTCTTGTGTTTCTGTCATACTGTTGCTGGTCGCACCGGGGCACTAGCTGGCTTTGGGCTGTCCCTGGCCAAGTGGGCAGTGATTGTACGACATTCGACAGACCTGGTAGCAGACTCCAACACCTGGCTCCTGTGGCTGATCATGGCCCTGGGTAAGTTCATCAGTTACTTGCTGGTTTACTTGTTCATTATTGGAAATAGCACAGGTTGGATTTAGTTAAGTCAGTCCAGTTCATTTGATGATATGGTTAGAAATACCAGGAATGTTCTTTCAGTCACCTCTATGTGAATGAAAAATAAATGATTGTCTGTAATAGGGGAGGAAGATTTATTGTATATGGTAAAATGGAATTTTACCAAACATTGGAGAGTACAGATGTAGGAGGTCAACATTATGGGGAACAGGTCATCAGGTGTTAATTCTTTCAAATTTGCATAATTATTATTGCATCTCTATTGTTTCATTTCACCAAGAGGATTTTATAATTAACATCTTTTAACTCATTTGATCCAGATGCTTCGCTGCCCTCATGTGGCCCAAAATATAGGCAATAAGCTTAACTGAGTGGCCACTCTGACTGATGTGCAGCTTGTAGGACAGTCACATGTAAACACGCACATGCGGTGATAAGACTTCATGCTTCTCCTTTGCAGTATTATTTTCTCTTTATCTGCATTAGCATTTTGAGCTTTTTTGTCATTTTCCAATGTCTATATTTTTAATTTGATATACTTTATCCAGATTGTAATAGACTGACTGCACATATCCATATAATATCTCTAGGTAGTTCATAATAATTTATTATTTTTGTCATTTTAAGTTTTTTTTTTATAATATTAAATTTTGCATAGCACAACCTGTACTGGCAATTACGGCAGCCAGGAATAGGATCCTGAGTTTGGAAATAGTACCCTCCCAGGAGCCAGCTCTCCTCCAGTCATGACTCGCAGATAGTACATTCCACACTCATTTATCGATGGAAATAATACAACAACCCCTCTCTAGCCTCCGAGCTAGTACAGTGGTAACGTGTCGGCCCTTCATTCGAGGGGATCTGCGGTTCGCGCCCCGCCCAGGCGCGAGAAGTTGCAATTGTCGCCTGGAGGTTACCGCTGTGGCTGGGCACCACGGTGGGTAAGGACTAAGCTCATCCGAGTCAGCACCTGCTGACACACTGTTAGTGAGTCAACATCAGTTGGCACAGGCCGGGCTCCCCCATAGCCTGGGCGAGGCTCAGCTTCGCATATCGGACTTATCCTTAACCCCTCTCTAAACTCCAGATGAGTCTAGTCATCCTCCAAGAGCTTTGTGTACTCGTCTCGAGGCATTTGCGACATCCTGGCCCGCAAGCAAAATGATTATGACAGCAAATTCATATCACCCTGGCCCACAGCCACATTTTCCCACGACGACATGTTCATGTCACCCGCCCCTGAAGCCAGATTTTTCATGTCATAATGGTCATGTCATCCTAATCATAGGGCTTATTTGTATTTCTTGTTCCTTTTCACATTCACTTTCAGTATTGTTATTTTAGCTTTTGCTGCATTGTAAACTCATTAATAATCAACATAGGAATTCAAAGGAGAGTTTTGTATGCTGCACATAATAAGTTTTTATTTTACTTCTGATAACATGACACACTAGCCATTCAACTATTAACCCCATGGATCTGGGTGATGTAACCATCACATCATGAAAAAATCCAGCTCGAGGGGCGGGTGACACGAACTTGCCATCATTGGAAAATCTGGTTGTATGCCGGGTGATACAAACTTGCAATTGTAAGTGTTTCGTTTGAAGGCTGGGGTGACTGAAAAGACTCCCCACAAGTGCACAAAGCTATTAGTAAGTTTATTTTACTCAGTGATTTTGCATTATTCCCATTAATGTGTTGAGTGTTGAATGTAATGCCCACTAGAGGTGACTGGAAGAATGCCAGCTCCATGGAGGATGCCATTTCTGTGCTCAACATTGTAATCCTGGTGCAGTGAGTGGTGATGCAAGTTGTATCACAGAAAATTGAATATTACATAGAAAATTTTTAAATGATGCAAATAACATGGCGTTCAATAGTTTTATTTTTCTTATACTGAGTTGTAGACTGCCTAGAGAGATGATTGGAATCTGTGCAAAGAAAAAATCTGTTACCATCTGGATAATGTAAATCAAATAGCAAATATGGATATTGGAAAATGGTCATAAAGCTAAAAATGCTCATGCGTAAAAAGAGTAAATAACTACGTAAATAGGAGTCAGTCTTGTCACCGCACACAGATGTTCATGTGTGACCGGCCTACATGCAGCCACCTGGCAGAGCACCTGCTCACATAAGCCTAATGCCTTGATTTTTGGTAATTTGATTGCTGTGATGCAACTGAATCCAGTCGGTTAAACTGATGCTGCCAGGGATGACATGTATGGACCTACTATACCTACTGTTTATTACTTGTCTTTACACATAGTACTTAGCCACAAACAGGTCAATTACTAGTACTACATATCTCACCTATTTACCCTTTTCCTTGATTTTCAGAAATATTCTCTCCTGCTTATGTTGCTGTTAGTAATGTTAATGACATTACAATAATTATAATGTCTATAATGAAAATAAAAACTTTGATATGATAGAATTAGTAAAAAAAACTTTTTCCCAAAAACTCGGTGAAAGGTTAAATCAGGTGAGGTAAGGTGGTCTACAAGTTGACTCTTTGTTGGCTGAGCACTTTTGGAGCCATCTATGTGTAGAGACATTTCACAAAAGAAAACTAAAATGAACAATATGTTTTCTTGATGGCAGTAGCTTAAATAACTGAGATGGTTTAACTGCCAATTGATGCCATATGGTAAAGGCATTAGGATTAAATTAATTAATATCTTAATATTTGCAGGCACGTTGGATTCAGATTCTATCATCTCTTTGGTATTTTCTCAGAAATGACATTTCATTTTTAAGTATATAGAGTACACCTATTGTGTCCATGATTTCTTACTCTAAACATTAACCGCAGGAATGCTGATCTGTATGCGTGCCATACTGCAGTACATCCACGCCAAGCGGGAGTGGCACCAGGTTCCCCACAACTCTCGTCATCGTTTCTTCCTCTTCTACTGAAACAAAATGTAGCAATGAATGGCCGATATCACCTCTTTCTTTGAGTAGTCCGGCACTTCCCTTCAGATTTTGTATGGTGGCAAGAAATTATTGGTAGTAATGCTGCTGCACCATGGATTTTCTTTCTGTCTCTCCCCTAAATTCATGAGGCCTCTTGCTCTGCATAAAAGAGGTGATATTGGTGTCTGTTGCCATGACATCTGCAAGGTGAAACAAGGAAGTGAAACTGGTTGAGCTTTATTTAGTAGATTACAAGTAAGATGATCAGTGGGTTGCCGAGTGTCGCTGTGGGACATTTTAGCAGTACTTGTCATTATTTTTTTATTCAGCACGAGATAATTGCGTTTCAGACTTGTCCACAGTGGGATTTGTACTTGGTTTATTTCATTGTTGCAAAATATATTTTATTAGACTAGACATTGAAGATCTTTATAATTTTGGTAAAGTCTTTCAGTTAGGCAGATATGAATTATTTTAATATATATATATATATGGTATTGATAATTAAGCTATATGAAGTGGATCCAGTATTTCCCAATATTAACAGTTTCAGTAGGTAACAGGTATTGGCTTCCTAAAATTAAAAGCTAAGAATTAAAGACTATACATTATATATTTATTCATATATTCATATATATTCATATATATCTACCTATCAGTTTAGATACTCTCCAACCTATGACATGGTCTGCAATCACTTTGTAGCCAGTTGATTCTTAGTGCAATGCATTCTGTGCCTCTACTGTTACTGTTTTTAATGAGTCAGTAACCAACTAGGTACATATTAAAGGATCCTACATAATGTCAATAAGGAAAACAGGTGTGTATTATAAGTCATCTTGTTAATATTACGACATGTGAGTACAACAAATCTTTGTGTCATAGGAAGAGGAAAAAGCTGCTGACAGAAGAAAATGTCATGCATTAAAGTGCAACAGCATTAAAAGATTTAAAAAGAAAAAAAAAAGATGGAAATGATAAAAAATGAAGAAAAAGAAAGACCTTAATAGTAGTGTATAGTTTTATCTCTAGAATCTGGTGCAGTTTAGTCTTTTATGAGCCAATGCATCAAGACAGGATGGTAAAGAAGAAAAAAGAATATTTTCAATTTACTTTTGAGCCTGCATTTCAAACTGAGAAGCTACAGATTTCTGCATTCAGTTTGTATGATTTTTCATGAACCTTGGTTTTATCATATAAAGTAGAAGAAAGATTTTTCTATATTATGAAACTGACTTTTAAATTTGTTGTATTATTGTATATCTTGTCATTAGTGGTTAATACTGTTTTCCAATTAGCAAATACCACTCAAATATAATTAATTTGATTATTATTCCATTTCAGTGTGTTCATTGCTTTATTATTACTTTTATCATGTCATCTCTTGGCATTTCATTTGTAAAATGCTGTGAGCCGAATCACGAGTATTTATGCACAGCCTTCTTTATGGTATATCTTGTGAACATCACTTTGAATTTCAGCATCACTTTTTCTTCAGTATTTGTTATGCTTTAAAATTTTATCTTTTTAAGATCAAAGTTCATTGGAATGCTAAACTAACCTTTAGCATGTTTGGTAGTATGGTAGTTTTATGAGACATTATACAGTTTATTGAAAAGGTTACCCCCTTAGTGCATGAACATAATCTTGGCAAATATATGTGAACTAGAAAATATACCAGTCCACAGAGTTTTTATTTTATTTTTCACTATTAAAAAATCTTAATTAAACTTTCCAACTCCAAATACATGATAACCTTTCTCTTCCCTATTTTCAAAGACAAATTATAGTGAATTGACAAAGAAAGAGTATTGTACTAGCATCTTGACAGAGGCAGCAGTTATTGTTTTGGGTGGTGCTCTTTGTGTGTGAAATGTAGAGGACATTCTCTCTTGCACATTTACAGCTGACATTGTACTGCTTGTTGTCTAGTTAGAGGTCAACGTGAAGCTTCTATGGCCCACTAATATGGTCTATGTTACATGCAAGGTTGTAACGAAATTTCCTTTAATTAATTTGTTTTTCATCATTCAAAATTTGATCTTTTTGATCATAGAATGTTCCCTCTTGCCTTTTGGGTTGGAGGATAAAACGTTCCTCAAGTGGACACTTGCTTGTAAATATTAGCATGCCGCCCAGCCATCCACTTTCACTGGATGAAGGATATATATGTATATGTATTTATGTGTGTATAAATATATATATATATGTTCACATGAATAATAAATATCACACATATCTCACCATTTCATATATAAAGTAGAGGCATCTAGTCAGCCGGTATTGTATGATTATATAATTGCTAGTAATCAGGAAAAGTGATGTGGTTTTTACAGATTTACTTTTGTTATTAAACATAAGCTTGTTCCTCCATTCCATTGGTTAAGATTGTCATGAATGGTAGATGTAGCAGTAAGGATTGTTGGATACAGTCATTAACAGAAATAGAAAGAGAAAACATTATTTAATTGATAAGGAACCATACATACTGAATAGGAAAAAAGGCACCAATTCTTTTCCCTTCCTTTTTTTCTGTGTGACTGAAACCTGTGTAAGAATGAGAGCTATAGAACAACAAAAATGCTGAATTTATTTATGTATAAAACTGCTTTTCTCCCTGTTCACATAGATGTAAATGATGTCTCATTGGAAGTTATTGGAGCAGATTTTTTTAGTCGTATGAATGGTTTTATTTTAACTTAGTGGCACTGGTGTTGATTATACTGCATTGACAATTAAGATATGTAAAATTGAAACAATATATATAGTATTAACCTGATTGAATGCATATAATTTTTCACGAAACACTTTTTGGTGACAAGGGGATTTGGGTTTATCATAGATGTTTTTAGTTGTGCAGTGCATGTAATCAATGTTAAAAAGAGTTTATGACAGGGAATCAATGTTTCTTTTAAATGTGATGATGCGTATATGTACGCAAATAAAAACAAAAGTTTCACCAAAGAATTGGCCTTTGTTTTTACCCAGGCTATGAATTATTATTTCAATTTTTTATTTCATTTTTTATTATTTTATATATATATATATTTTTTTACCATCTCATGGTTATGATCGACTTGAATTATTGAAATTGTCTGATTTGAAAACAAATTGGTATAGTCTTTAGAATTTTTGACTTTCTTGCTTGCTTAGCATCAGTAATTTAGTAAGAAACAGACATCAAGGTCTCATAAACATAACATGGTATGAGTTCTGTGAAGCTTTAGACAGATTTCCCTCAGAAGAGGCAAATGGAAAACTGAACTTCTCTTATTGCTTGATTTTATCCCCCACCCCCCACCCCACTACCACGACCACGACCAACACCACGACCAACACCACCACCACCATCACATGACTCTTTTTGTCATGGAGATTTAAATGGTCTTGGAGAGGCTTAACAGGCCCAACAATAATTTTTGTACTCTTATTAGGGTACAAAACCAATAACTAGACCTCTGTGACTACCTTTCCCGGTTCTCCAGTCCCTGGCTCTCCTTTTACCCAACTCTGAACACAGCTACTAACACCCCCTACTTGATACCTGCTGTCTGCTTAGTCTATTTCAAATCACCCAGCCAGGTCATTACCCAACCTCCAGAAAACATTCCTTTCTCTCTTGCAACATCCACTTCATTTCCTCATCCTCCAGTCTTCTTAGTTTTCAACCCCCTCCTCCCTTATTATTACAGTTCATTTTTATTGCCAACCCCTCTGCAGTATTATCCCTCTCCACACCACTCCCTCTTCCTCCCATCCTCGTCCTTCAATGACTTCCACCACTACAAATATTGTTTTTAGTTCAGCTAAATAGGATTGATTTTTTTTTTGACACCTCCAGAAATCTCTTAAAAACAAGAAGGCAAAGTTCTTGTCACATATGAATCCCAAGATTGTGCTTTATCTTCTTTGACTGACTTCGCTGGCAAACATTCCTGCCCAACCCCACTCCTCCCTTAATACTCCCCCCCCCCCCACCCCGGCCTATTGCCCCCGTCTACGACAAGGATTGGTAAGACTGTGAAAACGACCTACTTGTCTGCCTCGTTGACTATGATGTAGTATCAGAACAGTGCTACAGTATTCCCCCCAGAGGCCACCGAAAGTCTTCCACCAATATTGCCACGACACATGACCTCCTCCTATGAAAGGGAGTATTTCCTCTGCCTATTCTTTCTTTCGTCCAGTCAAATTATTTTGCCATTTTAAATTCAGACACTCCAGTCTCTACTTCTGTACTTCGCTCTGCCCATCGCATCAGACAATCTAAATGTTCTACTCCAACTCCTACCTAACTTTCTCAGACCTCTCCATTCAACTCCCTTTCAGAAAATCTTGATGACATTCAAAGCTTTCTAATCATGAACCAAAAAACACGCCTATCCCTCATCCACCTCCTGAATCTCCCATTCCCTCTCCACGCGAAATGACATCCATCCTCCTCCTCATGCTCCTACACTCTTTCCTCCCACTCCCTCCCAAAACACCCCATTCCCCCTGCTTCATGTGCTCCCTCTTGAATACACGTTACTCCTCCCTTCCTTATACTTCCACCTGATCTCTTATCTTATACCCTAATCCTTCCCCTCCTACTTTTTTTTTACCCTTATCACATTGATTGTTTCCTAATCACCCTTCTACACTGAAATATTCGCAGTTTCTGTTCCCACAAACCTGTCTCTCCCATTTGATATAATCGCCCCCTAACCCTCCCCCCTTTTCCCTTTTTACTAATCCCTGCCTTGCCCCATTTACTCACCCTCTTTCCCTTACCCTTCTTTACCCTTTTCAATACCATACTATCCCAAGATGCTATACAACTTTTGACGTGTAGCACATCTAATCATGAACTTATTGACTCCTCTGTTTACTCTTTCGCATTTTTGATGTCTCTAACGTTTATTTGTTTTTTAACTATTAACCATTAACCACTGATATTTGCAAATTTGTGTTTTATGCAGTCTCTTTACGAAAAAATTGTCGAGGGCGATTAATAAGGGGTTTCAGTTGTAGTTGTTAATATATCAGAAAGAATAAGTTCTTTTTCCTTTCTCTTAAGATAGATAAAGTTAATTCAGCTCACAAGGAAACTTAGAGATGGGAAAGTTCTATGAAGTGGACAATGATAAGCAAAGGAAAATTGATTTTAGATTGCATTATTATATTAAGATATAAATATTTAACAGAATATGGGTTCAGGATTCTTGAAGAAAGTGTACAAATCACAACCAATACAATAAGAATTCATCCAAATCCACAATAACACACGCATCCCAACAAGGTGCACTGCTAACATGTCACTCAACTGCCGCATTGCAGTGCGACTTTTGACGTGTGGGACATTTTATCATCAACTTACCCCCCCCCCCAACACACACTACCTTTACCCTTTTCACCATTACACCTCTCTCTGGTATATGGTCTTTGAGGTCTAGTACATTTACTTTGCTTTGTAACCAGTGACGATTCCACAGTTGCAATACAGGAACAGTGTTAAATCAGTGGCCATTCTTGCTCATTTTATCCCTGGTCTCGAGAATACTTTTATACTTCTATAGCAGATTTTTCACTCAATTTGCTGCTTTATTTAAGGAAATAATTTCGCGTGTCTGTGCCTAATATCAGTTGCGCCTTCGTCACATCTACTTTGCTAGTTTAATGCACACCAACTTTATTTATACCTCACTATCCTATGTAATTTGTCTTCTACTCCTCACCACCACCAGTATCATAATATATAATTAGTAATAATAATAATCTTGCTCACGGCCATAACCTCTCTCACCACCGTTACTTTTTTCCATGTCTGGTTTGTGTTGTATATTACATTACTTATAAATTTGGGAACTTAACAAAAGGTAAGACTTCGTTTCGCATGTACAGCCAAAACAAAACACGAAATAGCTTTGGATAGCAAGTCTGCAAATATCAAATGGGACAATACTATCGGGAATGGAAAACTTTAAAACTTCGCCAAACCTAGAAGAATCTGATTAAACGGCAATACTAAAACACATTTTGACTCACGTGAAGTTGAGCCAGTAAGCAAGCACTTGACCTTGTTACTCGTGTTACTAAATCTTCTCTCTGGCAAGCTGTTCATCTTACTAATTGGATTGTTAGCTGTAACGAAGATCTACTTTGTAGTCATGTATGTGATACATCTTTTGATGGGTTTCTTGATAGAAATAAGCTGAACACACACAAACACACACACACTCTCACTCACTCACACTCTCACTCTCTCTCTCTCTCTCTCTCTCTCTCTCTCTCTCTCTCTCTCTCTCTCTCTCTCTCTCTCTCTCTCTCTCTCTCTCTCTCTCTCTCACACACACACACACACACACACACACACACACACACACACACACACACACACACACACACACACACACACACATACACACACACACACACACACACACATACACACACACACACACACACACACACACACACACACACACACACACACACACACACACACACACACACACACACACACATACATATACACGACTGTCCAAGTTTATTGGGGTTTTCATATATGATAGTCATTGTTTAAGTAAAGCCGAGTAAAATATTCTATATCCACATAAATGAAATACCGATAACCTGTCGGGTTAAAAGAAACATGTTAATTTTTTCACTAAAAATTATAAACACGGAAAAACACAAATATTCACAAAACAAGAACAAGAAGAATCACTCCGCCAGATTGCAAGTGTGTTGTCTTCCTAACGGTATAATCATATTGGTTTTATTAAATCGAGCTCTGTATAATGAGAAAAAACAACAACATATTTCCGAGAAGTAACAGAAAAGATGTCATTGCAGTTTTCCTTGTTGTGACCATATTATTTAAGTACCACAGAAGATTTCTTTATAAGTAATACTATCCACAGCACATTGAATTCGTACCATCGAGAACAAACAGGATCTACTCTCGTAAACTGTGTAATTGCTATTATTATTATTATTATTATTATTATTATTATTATTATTATTATTATTATTGTTATTGTTATTATTATTATTAGCATTATTATTATCTATTTTTCTTTATCTTTTTCTCTTCAGTTTTTCTTTTCCTTTCCTTTCCCATTATGATCACGTCTTTCTTCTTCTTTTCCTCTCCTTCTTCTTCCTCTCTCTATACCTCTCTTTCATGAGCTGAAGCCCAGCAGGACGATTCCCCTCCCCCTCCCCCCTCACCACCACCACCGCCCCCGCCACCACGCATGCGCTCCGGAAACCACGGTTCTTCTCCAGAGTTCCACGGAGGTCAGATGCGAGGGAGATGATGACTTCAACAGACCGGCGCCTGGCTGTTCGTCGCCCACAACTCGATGCCGTTTCAGTTGCTAGGTCACCTTTGCCTATTTTCTTCTGCAACCTGGTCGTACTAGGGGATTGTAGGATCGCTTGGGTGTTGGTGATGGGGATAGAGAGAGAGATAATGGGGTAGGATGGGGATGGGAAGGGTGTCTCGCTGTAATATAAAAAATCCTGCTGTCCGAATCACGATGCAAATCAAGGATGGAAATACAAAACAAATAAATTTACTGAGTCGACGTTCATATTAACACTATACACACACACACACACACACACACACACACACACATATATATATATATATATATATATATATATATATATATATATATATATATATATATACACACACACACACACACACACACACACACATACATACAGATATATGTGCAGATATATATATATATATATATATATATATATATATATATATATATATATATATATATATGTGTGTGTGTGTGTGTGTGTGTGTGTGTGTGTGTGTGTGTGTGTGTGTGTGTGTGTGTGTGTGAGTGTGTATATATATATATATATATATATATATATATATATATATATATATATATTTATTTATTTATTTATTTATTTATTTACACACACATACACATGCACTTAGATACATA